TAATGTTGATATCCCTGGCTGATAATGTTGATATCCCTGGCTCCCGTTCACAGTGGAGCAAGCAACATTTTTAGTCTAAGGGCTATTTCATGACCTTGCACTTTGTCTAAGGGTTATAAGCAATATTGCTGATGACATTACTGTATATCACTAGAGTGGGTACCGCTGGCATTTGTGGATTTTTTTGGTAGCTTTATATTTTGAGAGAGTTTAGGGGACAAAATCAGTTTAATACACTCATTTCGCCCTTTGGGGGAAATAAATCATTGCAAAGCATGCAGTAAGAGAATCGCATGCTGTAATGTGCAATTGTGACACCAATCCATTTGATACTGAATCGTTCTGCTAAATAGAGCCAAATTTAGTCATGGATGCTTAAGAAATTGCTGTTTCAAAACCTGAGATATAATTCTTTGCTTTATACTAGTTTTGATTTTTAATTTCATGAGTTTACTGAGATGCAGTTGAAAGTGCTGAAATGACAATATTTCAAGTTTATTTTATTTCCCTATTCCAGCTGAACTTGATGTAGAGCATGTTCAGAAGGTGCTGGATATGGAGCATACCCAGGAAATGAAGCTAAAGGAGCGGCAGAAATTCTTTGAAGAAGCTTTCCAGCAGGACATGGAACAATACCTCACCACAGGCTATCTGCAGATAGCTGAAAGACGGGGCAAGTATTGAAATCTTTCGATCTAAACTTCCATGTAAGTATCTCTCCAGCTAAATCACAAAACAGACTTACAGAGCTGCCATAACACTCTGTTGGATTTTGTAGTCTTTTTATATCTTCCATAACATAGCCTTACTCAAAAAAGTTAGAGTGAGCGATATGCTCAAGGGTTCTCCTTTTCAAGAAATGAGACTAGTTGATATTAAGTGTAATCAGAATATAACAGTGTGTTGTGTGTTATACCTCTGTCCTAGTTGTAAGAATAGAACGGCAATTTTGAAAGTTGTTTGTCTGGGAATAGATGCAAGAGCTAATATATTTTGTGTTGCTTCAACCTGTAAACAGAGAAGTGGCAGCTATTTTCTTGCAAATCAGTGAGCTTGATGGTAGAAATCACAGCTGAGACTTGCTGAATAGTAGATTGTATCTTGCTTCTCATCAAAAGAAAAGGTTAATCAGAAATCTGTTCTACCCCCAAATAGAACCTGTTCTGTTTGTCCCTAATGGAGAGCCCATTAACAGGTTGTGAACACATCGTGCTCTTAATCAAGTTCCCTTGTAATTATTGCTGAGATGGTTATTGCCTCTGATACCTCCAAATAACTGCTGTAACAAGACATTGATACTTGCACTACATTACCTTTTTTATGGAAGCTGCTGAAATTTGTGGGCATTGTTGTTTCCTGTCTTTATTAATTGCATAGCTTAATAATACATTGTATAAAAATAATTTTTTTTATCTGCCCTGAACTTTGCTTTGTTCCACTTCATTGGCTCACAAGGGAGAGAAAGACTTCCTGTCTTTTCAACAGCATACATAATTCTGTGTCTTGTCATCATATTCCCTAAAGAGCCCCTTATTTTAGATGTATATCTTATCTTACCTTCGAGGATCTCTATTTCTGGCTTAAAGTCACCCAGTCCTAATCCAAGACTTAACCTTTATACCAGTCCATTCTGTCTTTTCTCATTTTCTTTCTATACCAGTCCATACTGTTTTTTTCTCCTAGGGTAACTGTTTCAGCCCCTTCATAATTTTGGATGAAGTTCCAGCAACTTTATTGTCATACTAGACTCAAAAGTTCTGGAACATAAAGCAAGTTGATAGAAAAGCTACTCAGTGCTTCTGTTAGTTATTGGGAAATGGTACCAGGAATGTGCAAACCTCAGTGCATTCTGTTGTTTCCTGAAATGTATAATCCAACTGTTCTGAAAGTGGCTGGTTTTCTGTAGGTCCAGATCACTATGTACACTTCTAGAATATGAAGAATGCCTCTCCATCAACGTGTTTGGGCAAGAGAGAGAACATTCTGGGAGACACAGAAATTTTCCATTACTGAATCTGGAATTTTGACAGATAACTATAATCTCTTTGTAATAATACAGTCATCATTACATTTCATTTGTCTCAGTGATAGAAACTGTCTCATCTCTTTGTAATAGGGTTTTTTTTTAGATTTTTTTTTAATCCTGCTTTTATTATTTTTCATAAATAACTCAAGGTGGAAAACAAACCTAGTACTCCTTCCTCCTCTTATTTTCCCCACAACAACCACCCTGTGAGGTGAGTTGGGCTGAGAGAGTGTGACTGGCCCAAAGTCACCCAAGCGGCTTTCACGCCTAAGGTAGGACTAGAACTCACAATCTCCTGGATTCTAGGCTGGAGCCTTAACTACTAGACCAATAACTGTTAGACCAAACTGGCTCTCTTCCTCATCAGCACAAACTTCTGAAATTCATGTAAGTCCTGATTCATCCTTTTAGGTGCTGATATAAATAATGACACTATCAACCTTTCCTTAAAAAGTCAGACTGCTAATTAAAAAAACAGAAAAAAATTGGGGGCAAAATTCCGTTTTACAACCATGGATTCCAAAAATGAGCATGTGGGTAAATTTGCTGATTTATTTTTTCTGATTTCAGAGCCAATAGGGAGCATGTCTTCTATGGAAGTGAATGTGGACACGTTGGAACAAATGGACCTTGTGGATATGTCTGATCAAGAAGCCTTAGATGTCTTCCTTAATTCAGGAGTAGAGGACAGTACTTTATTATCTGCTACAATAGGTAGATGTTTCTTATTGTATTAGATGAAACAAACACAGTAGAGCTGATTGAATCTTTCTGGTGGGATAGATTAATTTTAAGTCAAGAGATTTTTTTTTCTTGTTTTAATCAAAAGATGTAGTAGATGCAAGGTTACTTTATTTAATACTGCTCAATTGGCTTAGAAGAGGCTCGCTTATGGGACCTCGTTTATGTTGTCAGAGGACACTCCCATTATACCTAGAAAGCACCATGGTTGTAAGTTTTCTGCTGGCAGCATGTTAGGACAGATTACAGGAAACCATAGACCCATAAAATACAGATCCCCTGAAAGAACTGGACACTAGTAAAGATTAGCAATATTAAAATAAGTCAGATAAAAATTAAGACAATATTAACAGTGTCAGGGAAAAAAACATGTTAAACACGGGAGGCAGACACACCATAAAACAAGTCACTTCAAAGTTCTAGAAAGTTTATTAAATGTTAG